GATTGTAATGACATGTGAAAAAGAGTATCCCCATGGGATAATAAAGACTATCAATTTTAATATAAGTTGTTAATAATTCTCATAGCACATCTCCATAAGGTTACACTTAAATGTGTAAAGACAAATCTTGCAGAAAAAGTTACTTTCTTGTTTCGTGAACTTAATTTGATTTGAACATCGTAGAATGTAATAACTGCGTCACTCCCTTTTCCACAGAGTGATAATGGAGATATGTGAGCAAAACCACCGAGTCGTAGCAAGTGAAGTCTTTAACTTCCTTAAAATGGAAGTTCTGCACAAAAAAGGTGAAAGATGTTTAGAAAACCCAGGTTTTTTAGATGAAAAATGTAATGTGCACTAATTAAGCCCATACCAGCCAATTACAGGCAAACACATGGACACTCGAGACAGGCAACCACGCACATGCAACACTTAGACCTTAGGACAATTAATTTAACAGTTTTTTGGAGTACCAGGAGAAAACCCAACGATGCACAGGGAAAATCATGCAATTTTAAAAACAATTATTCAAACAATGTCTCCAATGAAAACAGGAAATCCAGATCATCATCACTGATTACTATAGTTTTTATCATATTCAAGGAAAAGATAACTTTTTTCACCTTTTTAGTGTTAAGTATAAAAGGGAACCTTAATCAGTTGGAACTGTGGAAAATCACATTGTGTACCTTTCAAAATTCTGCATCTTTCGGACCTGGGAAATGGAAACTAAATGGAAAAACAAAGCTTTTGTCTAGCAACAATTAATGATGATAGTCATTCTTTTAGTTACAATTATCATTAAAAGATTCACTTCTGTCTCCTTGCGGGAAGAACTATAATGGCTGCATGGTCCCTGTCTGCAGATAATGTACATCTGCAGCTCATTAGTATGCACCTCCACCATCTGTCCTCCATGTTTGATCCAGTCCACAGTGACAGCATCAGTTTATTGACTCAGTGATCAGTCAGCTGCTTAATGTGTGTACAGCAAAGCCCAGCTCACACAGTAGTGTCCCAGCTGCATTTTCTTAAGTGTTTATTTAGAGATTAAGTTGACAGAGAGCACGTTTTTACTCACAGTTACGGCCTGCAGCGGCAATTTATGCTCTCACACTGATGTGCTGTGAGAGATCCATCGTCTCAATCCAAGGCAGGAACTCCTGCCTCCAGGATGAGTCTGGACTGGATGATTTGAACCATAAATTCACTTTGTTAAACACCTTCTGACTGCACAACCCTGAGCAGATGAGGTGACAGGCCATGTTGATCTTGGCACACATATTGGCAGGGTCGTCTGCTAATGGACCACAAGGCAATAGTAACCTCAAGATTTCTATTGAACCTTCTTGATTATGTTAAGATGTTTTGCGTTTTCAATTTTTCAGTGTCTACTAAAGTTGAGAAGTTGAATTTCCTTTCCCAGCTGTTTGGACTGATGATAAACTAAAGGCTAAATGATCCTCACTATTGAAAGGGCTTAATCATACTTTATTTTGAATCATCGGCACAGAGCTTTTTAATCAATACAGCATTATAAAAGGTGTGAAAAATGACAAGCACCTCTGTTGCTTAGCAAACCATGTCCAAGCTGTCATATATATTTGGTGTGCATTAGGTTCGTTGCACAGGGACAAAACATTTTGAGTGACAGACTCAAAACGTTTCTCAGCCCTCTGAGTACCTATTGCTGCTAAAGTTTCCATGAGTTTAAGAGCTTTGGATTTGTTTCGAGGCCAATGAACAGTTTGTTTTAAGTAATCTGAAATGGTTTTGATTCTTTTTAATTCAAAATCTAGCTTAGTTTAATTTTTCAAACCTGAATGAAGAAGGGATTGCTTAAAATACAATCATGATTTTTATGTAAACTTGTTTTCCTTAGGTTTCTTTATTTGTTTGGTATTACCATTAACTCTTTAGATTCAAGTTAAATAAATTAGAATATAGAGACTAGCAGACTTGAACTGGATTGATTTACATTATTCATATTTTTTAATACAGTTATTTTGTTTTACATATTTAACCTGTTAAGAATAACAAAACAGAGACCATTCAGTTATTTTCAACAATGTTGTTTAAATCGTGTTTTGCCACCACAAATCCAATACTGTGTATCAAACTATTACCTTCATCCAAATTCATGTGAAAGTTGTTGAAGTAACAATTTGCAGAATTAATATAATTTTGTTTTGACAACAAATGCTACTTTTCCTCCAGTTTCCATACATCTTTTTTCATCCTGTTGCTTATTTGCCTTAATACTCACTGATTTCTAAATCCCTAAAACACTGGAACATGTTACACATTGTAAGCTCAAAATGATAACATCTTTACTGTAACCAATTCTAAGGGTATTGTGTATGGAAAGATGCCAGACTGCAGAATCTGTTGCTATAGCAGTATCATCTCAGATAAACTGGTAAAGGAATCAGTCCAGCAACACATTGGCAGCTAGTTACACATTAATTTGCCTATTTTTAAAACCAGATGCTTGTAGAAGAGAGAGAAGGACGAGGAACAAGAGACAGTGCAGAAAATCTCATAGCTGGGCAAAAAATATCAGTCACACTGCATGATTTCCTCACAAAATGTCTGACACCGCTTGATATTTGTCACTGCTTAATATTTTTTCATCGCTCAACTTTGAAGAGTGCTAAATTGCCAATCAGTGCGTCTGTCATCCTGAATAACCACAAACCAGTGATTTACCCCCACAACCAGAGCCTTTCTTCTATTTTTTTCCACAACAAAAGATTTCTGTTGAAACGCCTTTAAGGGTTTTTTTTCTTGGACTTGAGGACTACAGCATGCAGCATGTTGTAAAAGTGATGATTTATTGATGTGATCATAACATCACAAAGTCATCCGGCATGTGTTTTTGTTTTATGAGTTTAAATTAAAAGATTAAGCAACAGAATAGCCTATAAAGCTGTACTCTGAAGCTGCTTGTGGATTCAGTGCTTCACATAAAATATTCCTCTTCTAGAAAGTTATGTATAGAAGTACAAAAGCTTAAAAATACCCACATCTGTCTTGTGTGGACTCAATAACAGACAGAACCCTAATATAATCTTTTTTTGCACACTGTTTGTTCCAGCACTGTAACACTTGCAGTGAAGAATTTTACTGGACTAGAATCAGGTCTCCTGAACAGCATTTTTTAAATTAATTAATTTATTTTTTTTACTTCATAGCCTTGCGTCTCTTGCCAATATCTAAGCCCTATATTACTCACCCAAAACAAAATGGGAGAAACTGGGGCCTTGAATCTTTTTGTATACTATTTAGCCTGGAGCTTTTTAGGACTGGTGCTGACTTTACTGACACTCGTTGGAAGCATTTAGCAGACTTCACACAGTTAAAGCTCGACAGAGACATTAAAGGCTTTATATCACATCTCACAGATAAGCTGAAGTAATCTTCGCCTGAAAAGCACACCCTGAGGTGGAGAATAACAGCAGTTTACTGTTGGGCTGATTTCAGAATTTTATTTTTCTATTGATGGCAACGCCAACGTCTGTCAGCTGCAAACAGATTTCTGATATTTCATATGGCTGCCGAGCAGCTGGGACTCTTTAAGCTCTTGAAGTGGAGGGCCCACAGCTGTCTGCTTGTTGGGGCTGCTACTGTAGAATGCCGCTGATATGTGGGCTCTGACTGATCAGATTTCTATTTTATTTTATTTATTTATTTATTTGCAGGGGAAAGAATCGGTAAGGTCTGGTTTCCTACCTTGAGAAAGAAACACAGATGCTTCCAGTCCTCATGTCAGCATCCACAGTTCACAGTTCTGAATAAGTATTTTTTCTAAGCTATATCAATGATCAGTTGTTCCTGAAATGCTTGGAAGCTGAAGAGATACAGCAGCACATTGCACCAGCCTCCTGGTTGAATAGCCTAAATAACATTAAAAACAATGAATATCTCTTTTGATGAGCTTATATGCATATTTATTAAACGATTAAGCATCAAAAGTGCTTAATTGTTAAAAATGTTTATTTTGTCAGTTCATGGTGATTAAATTGTGATTTGTTTTGATTGATTTCCAACCCTGCAATTTAATTTAAGCTAAAATTTGAATTCAATTTGCGGCAATAAATAAAGTTTACCTTTTAAAGTTAAACGTTGTAACTCATGTTTTAATAAAATTAAATGCCATCTCTCTATTTTAAGTTCCACTCTTTTATCTTCACAATAAATTATACCTTTTTCAGATATGTAGTTTTTTGTGTATTGTTTAAAAAGCAAAAAAGAAATGTTATTTTTTTTCTACGTGTAACATTTCAATGAACTCACTGTAAATTCAGCAAGTTTCTAAGCTAAAAAGAACAAACAAACAAAAGCGAGTAATTTAATGTTAGATTAGCTTTTTGATTTGCAAAGCAATCAATACAATACATTTGTGTCTGGCAGCAAATAATCTGATTTAAACACATTAGAAACATGCTGCATGTGTCTACAAAGCTTATGAGCACATTAAAGATTGTAATCTTTTTAATTGGCTAAGCTCTTGACTGGCACACACATTAGTGAAGACATCTCCATGTTTATCAGCACCCTTGCCCCCTGGTGCTGAACAGCCTGAGTTAATTTTTACTGCTGCTTCCATCAGCACTCATTGTGTTGCTGCTCTCCTATTCAAAGAACCTGAGGGACGACATTGTCTTACACTGTCTCCAAGTTATTTTGATGTTATTAGATAAGGAAGATAAAGTTTAGAAATTACTAAGGTGGAAACAAATTGTAAAGATCTCATTAAAGGTTCTGTCTTTAACCTGTCCTTACATTTTTCCCTTCCATCCAGTGGAATTAAATTTTATTGTACTGCTTTTTATTTTAAATGATTGTCGGTCATAATCAAGGCAGACTTCAGTCAGAGAAAACGACATTTTGAGACTTGGCCCCAACACTGCTTTCTTTGAGGCTAAGCACATGAAGGCAAAGTGAGAGGGAAAAAATGCTGTCAATCCTCAGAGCGTTTCTTTGTGCTTCTCTTTCAGGCTCGAAAACCAGGTTACTTTTCCTTTCTCGACCCGTTTTCTCCTGCTGTTTGGCTTTTCATGCTGCTGGCCTACCTTGCTGTTAGCTGTGTTCTCTTCCTCGCCGCCAGGTATGACACCTTTCTAATAATTTCACATCAGAAAACATGATACGTTGCACATTTTGAGTTTTGCCTGTTTCGGAAGAACTTGTCAATGGGCTTGTCTTACTGGGTTCTTGAGGGTTCATTGCTAATCACGATCACAAAAAGAAGCCTAAAATGAGAAATATCAAATATCTTGAATATCAAAAAGTGAACCACATTCCACTCGGAAAAAGAAATGCTTTCATGTATTTGTGCCTAAAAATTTTAGAATTGCACCCATTAAGCCAAAGAATATAATGAGAGTTTGGTAGCTGTTTAATGACGCTTCAAGTTTTTCATTTTTGTACTCTTCTGTGAATCAGCATTAGTCCTTCTGCTTCTGCTTTTTTGATGTACTGAGATGTTTAAAATTTTAATGGCCCTTTTATATAATAAGCGGAATAATGATTACTTTTATTTGGGAAATGAATATCTAAAACATCTTGGTCTGAGTAATTGATTGTTCCCATGTTATTTTGTGAAATAACTGCAAAACCAATTTTTTTGTTTCAGTGCCATCAGCCACACCTGATGAGCACCAGACCTACAGAATGAAGAAATTACCACAATATGAAGTGATCTAAAATGCCCCAATTAGAAAAAGAAATAAATAATGCATATAAAGAGAAATACAAAGTTAAAGATAAATATAAAAGCCCTTTCTAAGGCTTTGGGAATCCAGTGAACTACAATGAAGCCACTAAATAGTAACAGAGGTGAACTTTCCCAGTGGCAGCGCCACAGAACGTACTGTAGAGCATGTGAACGACTTGGTCACCACAGGACCCAGAGCAACATCTACAGCAATGAAGGCCTCACTTCCTTCACTTGATAGCTTATAATTAAACAATAAAAGCTGAGATGGGAAAAATATAATCCATTTGAGAGCTGAAAGGCAAAACAACATAAATGATCTCAGACTTCAGGAAAAAATTTCTGTAGACTGCAGAGAAAAAGCACACCATGCTGAAATTCAAATGTGAGTTTTAGTACACTTATAGGCAATGCTTTGCTGCTTCAGTGCCTCAAAAAATCACTATAACAAGTTGAAGAATTAATCCTGATCAAAACTCTAAAGGTTTTGGGTTGGAAGTGAACATCAGCTTGTGAGCTTAATCTCTAGTATTTTGTGTTAAGCCTTTACTATTTTATGAAAACTTCTTTTCTGATATATTCTTTGTTTTTTGGTAGATTTTTTTTTAATCAAACAATTAATTTTATATGACTACCCTTAAAAGATTAATACATGACAGTCTTTTTTCTGTCTAATGTCAAAATGTGTTAGATAAACATTTAAATAAGACAAAAGAGCAACTTCTTTCTGTTTTCTATGGTTTGAATGTTTTTAAGTCACCCTATCATTTGACTACAAACATTTTGGGAAAAAATTCCTAAACTGATCACCAATGTATCCCTTTTTACAAAGTAATGCATACCTTTTAACATAGTTTTGCATGTTTGCTCTTTTTTCTTTAAGGCTCAGTCCTTATGAGTGGTACAACCCTCACCCATGTTTACGGGAGCGGCGGGACATCCTGGAGAACCAGTACACACTGGGAAACAGCCTGTGGTTCCCAGTTGGAGGCTTCATGCAGCAAGGCTCAGAGATTATGCCGCGGGCCCTGTCCACCCGCTGCGTCAGCGGAGTCTGGTTGGTACCAAGACTGTAACATTTTTCATGGTTGGCATTCATTACAGCAACTTATTGACCTAAAGGTGCAAGTTATATTTCTGTAGCACTATTAGCTTTTCTTGACAGGCACTAGACAGGAAATGGCCAGAGAGCGAATTGGAGAAGACATGCAGCAAAAGTCTCAGTCGGGGCTCAAACCTCACATGGTCCGCTCTACTTAAATTTAAGAATATTTTTGGCTGATGTAACACTTAAGTAAACCTGCATTGGCATTTTGACTAATTTGATCTCCACGTTACTGATGCAATCATTTAATAGTCCCAAGCACTATCTGGTCTGAAAACAAAAAAGAAATTAAGAAGTTTATTTTAGTGAGATGTCACTTTTATGCTTTTCAAATTTTCAGCAACTTTACTGACACATTTGCAATTATGCTTTTCAAAAATGAAACCTTTAATTAGTCACACCTATTTTTTTTGCTCTGCAAGCATTTTTGACATCTAGTCTCATGTTAATGTGCAATTACAGTAGCAATAAATTGTCCCAAATTTCTGCTTTAAAGTTAAGGAAGAAGACTGTTCTTTGAACAATCTTTTGTCAAGACTGGAGCAAACAGAGACGGGTCTTTGACCAATCCTCTCTACAGAACCTCTCTCATTCTTGATTCTTTTTTTTATGGACTACCCTGAAGTATTGCAAAATCTTTTATGTTATTCCAACTAAATAAGTGCATGGTTTCACATTAAAGTTCTTCTAATGTATGGCAAGCACAATATCTTTACATTTGTGTTGGTAGGAGCAAAAGAATATTTTTCCATTTTGCCTCCGAAGCAGGAACAGTTGGTATGGAAACTGTGATTCTGAACCCACTTGTCACATTGAGTTTGGAAATGTTAATTTTGTAAGGTATATAATTCATCCAACACTCGAATGTCCATACTTATAATTCTGAGATTATGCTACCACAATAGAAAATTAATCTTAATAAAAGATTGTCTTCTAAGGTGTTTGCACATTTTTTCTAGAGGTCTAGAGGATAATAAGTGTCATTGGATCAGTATTTGATCAGTCCCTGCTTCCATTTGGCACAGAAAGTTATTAATTTTACTCACCAGCTTCTAAACATGAAAGGGAGAGTAACACTCTCCCTTTTTTGTAAAATGCTCACAACACATGGAATACGAAGCAGATATCAAGTATTCTTTGTGTCTTGGAAATTATATTGAGAGATGTGTGTTTTCTCTAGGCATGAAAGGTTGACACACAAACATGTCGCAACAGCTTGCAATTATTACACAGAGAGCATTTGTCATGTTTGCTGTGTGTCCTCTGGAGCTGAAAACCACTTTGACTGCCTCACCTCTTGAAACAAGTGAACTGGCAAAATTATGCCATCATGTAAGATCACTAAAATGTCATTGCTCGTAATGAATCACAAATAACTGTTTCGGGGAGTAAAAATCCAGAAAAATACTAAGTAATGTCTAACATTTGCAGTAATATTTGTCGATGTGCCGGAACAAAGTGGTGATAATGAACAGCATCTCCTAGTGGTCATTGCCGTTATAACATGAGTCAAGGAGGAATTAAAGACACAAGGTTGCCTCAGAAAGCAAGGAAAGAAGAATAACTGACAAGAAGAAACGCCAGAGCGGACCTCGATATTGCTCTTCCTTCTCCCTCCTCCCATCTGCCCATTCCTTCCTCTTCAGCAACATTAGCTGAAGGTGAACAGATGGTATCGACTCTAATGTGAAAATGATGATGTCAGTTTTTCCTCAGGTTTTTATTTCCACTCCTCTGACTCTCTGTCCTCTCTCTAATTCAACCTAGTTTCTATTCCAAACTTTTAGCAAAATAATTTGCTGACAGATTATTAATGATCTCTTAGTAGATGATATAATGCAGACGCTAGTTTTACTTCTTTGTGTTTGAAAACGTTTCGGTTTCTACTTTTAAAACTTTTAATCTGAAAAAAAATTACTGCATTCTTTTGTAGAATTGTTTCATTTTCTCAAAATTGTTGGGAAAAAAAATTAAATATGGGTTTTCTGATTTTATGTTATTAGAAGCCTTTTGTCTTCTAATAAGGGTTTATCTTATTTTTAAGGGACAGTGCAGAATTGTTTTTCAGAGTTTTCAGTCAGTTAAAAAATTGGGTTTCAGTTTGTAATTTGCATTTTGGACTGAGTAGCGTTGACTTTCATATCTCTCCTCCCTCAGTCCCAGTAGCTGCAGCTTGACAGATGGTAGAGCAATACTGGAGGGGCTGGAGGGTCCATCGACGGATTTTCCCTGACAGCTCTCTGCCTAGTCTGGCACTTAGTCTCATAAAAGCTAATGATAGCCGTGGCACAAGTTGCAACATCCTTAGGTCTGTCTCTGTATGTCTGAGTGGCTTGTTGGCTGCCATGTCCACGTTGCATAACAATTAAAAGAGATGGAACAATGGACAAATTCAGTCATATCCAGGCTGTAAACGGAAAGAAAACAAAACTGATGCTTGTAAATTTCCTAACCCTTCAAAACTGTCTTATAAAAGCAGTAAATTAGAAGAGGGCCATTTGGTTGATGAGTCTTCTAGTTTAGTTCTGACTTCAAAAGGGCCATAAGCTGGTTTTGTCTTTTCCAGGAAAGGCTCACTTTGAGAGTCCCAGTAAATAACTTTTGGACCTGCTGTGCGAGTTTCTCCCCAGCTGTTCAGTGTATCTTCGCTTTCATTCATTTAGTTTCACCTTGCGCTTCAAAGGGTTCAATTCTGCACATGTTGACTTTGGTTGAACTCGTCCTTCTGTCTGACTCTAATTAAGCTGCTTTTGTAAATGTTTGTCCATTTACCTTAAGATGGTATAGAACTGGTTTGTTCTGGCTTTAGAAATAAAGCAAATCAATAAAAAAACACTGTTCATATTTTATTGGGAGTTGACCTGCAGTGGAGTCTGTAGCTGAGATTGCGCACGACTTTTTTGTTGTCAGTTTTCAAAATGATAATAATGACAGAGACAATAGTATTTCATTCTCATTTACTATAGTTAATATTCAAGTCCAAACATCTGAACAGAGAAACCACATCGTGACATCATACATAAACCAGATGAATACATGTAATCTGTTCTCCACAGTGACAAAAACCACTGACTGCACAGAACAATGAAGCAAATGCACTAAATTATGAACGATTCACCTGGTCTGCATGAACCAGAATTGTTAACTCACTTGTGTATTGTTAATTATCTTAAGGGTGCTTGATTCAGTGGCTGTTGTCATGAGATTGGAGACTCATGACTTATGAGTCCCAATTGGATAAATTGATTCAATTGAATAAATTGATTCAATTTATCCAATTGTACAAATTTATATTCAGTTTTGATAGTCCAAAGCTATAATATGGTAAAGTCAGGTAATGCCGGTTGGCAAAAATTTCTCTATTGTGTTTATAGCAACCATGTATATGTCATGTGGAAAGAAATAACTTTTTAAATCATTTTTAGGAGGCACAGAAAGAGAAAACCATTGTTCTCTATGAAAAACCTCAAGGCCAAACTAAAGCTTACCAGTGATGACAACCCAAACTTAAGGAATAATGATGAGTTGAATAAACAGCAGCTCTAATTCATCATATCAACAGATCAGTGCAGAAATCCCTCCACAGTATATTGGTGGCACAAATAATTCAAGACTTATTAGCTTTTCCTTTCTGACAGAGAGATAAAATCATTTAGATCACGCTCACGTCTGCCTGTCAGCCTAATAGTCCCAGCTGGAAAACACAGAAAAACAGCTCAAAAGGTTACCGATTAATATTTTATATCTTGCCATTTATATTGCTGCCACAAACAATAATATATAAAGGAAATATGTGCTGAGAATTGTCATTCAGCTGTTCATCTGAGCTGCAGCAACCAATAATTCAGAAATCCACGTTGGTTTAGCTTCTATTTAAATGTTTATTCTCACAAATGGCAGAGTCATAGTTGCAAATTAGCCCAATTTAAACTCAGCATTATGTTAAATTTATTTAATAATAAATGCATGTTGAACAAAAAGTAATTAAATCTTCCTAACATTATTCTGAGAGTTGTATGTGTATAATTATTGTAATTATGTTGGTGTGTAGCATTTTTCTACATAAATTTCTGGGAATATTTGCATGTGGCACTTGCTTTGCTTCTACTTTCCCCAACTCCCTCCATTTTTCTTTCAGAAATTTGGCTCCATCTTTAATATATTTCTTCATAACTTTGCTTTCATTTTCTGTGCAGCAGAGGCATCCTGCTCATCTCTGCTGCAGTGCGAGTTCATGTTTAGGTTGATGATTTTTACCTAAAACTCCTGACATTTCCTGCAGTGCCTTCCATCTGCTTCCCCATACTGCCTTCCTCTTTCTGCTCTTAATAAAATCAGGGAGAGGAAATAACATGAGGGAGATGTTACTGTGAGAGTGGTGCAGGCACCAGGGTAAATAAAGGTTATAACTTTTACTTTCTCATCATTCAGGTGGGCGTTCACTCTCATCATAATCTCTTCCTACACGGCCAACCTGGCAGCGTTTCTCACCGTACAGAGAATGGAGGTGCCGATCGAGTCTCCCGATGACCTGGCAGACCAAACCAACATCCAATATGGCACCATACATGGAGGGTCCACTATGACCTTCTTCATGGTGAGACAGAGAGAAATTTCATAGAAAAAAGTATTCAGACTTGTGTGACTAATCCAATAATCCATTTTGCAATTTCTCCTTCAGAACTCGCGGTACCAGACGTACCAGCGAATGTGGAACTACATGAAGTCCAAGCAGCCCAGTGTGTTTGTGAAGAGCACAGAAGAAGGTATCGCCCGTGTCCTCAATTCCAAGTACGCCTTCCTGATGGAGAGCACCATGAACGAGTATTACCGCAGCCTAAACTGCAACCTCACGCAGATCGGAGGACTGCTGGACACAAAGGGATATGGCATCGGCATGCCGCTGGGTGAGTGGACTGTGATTGGTAAGACACCAGGGTTTTTTACACAGTATGAGAACATGTAGACTAGGGTCCTTCCCTGTCATGTTGATCATTAACTGACAGAAAAATGGCTCCTCAGGCAGGCTGGCACCTTGATTTGATGCTGAAGAAGCAGGTTACACCAACTATCATGAAAAAATGAAACCTTACAACTCATGCAAAGCTTCTGCTATCCCTCTCAGTTTTGATCTATTTCTTTTTGGAGTAAAATTATTTTCAGCTGAATTTGGTAACTATGATTTTTCTGCAACATTACAGTATGTTTATAACTGCATTACGTATTTTATTGTAAGGAGACCTTGTCATGGAGGCATAGAGTGCCAAGTCTTCTTTGGCCATTAATCAGGCCAGATTATTTGTGCATCTGTTCTTCTTGGCAAATTAAATCCATAGTGATTCCAATTAGACTTTGGTCAGTCCTGCCAGAGTCTGGCCTGACCTCATCATCTTGTTCCTGATAAGTGTTGCTCTATAGACATGCATGAGTTATGAAATACCTGCTGCAGGAACAGATGCAGCCAGAGAAGAGAGAACAGCAGGAAAAACAACAAAGGAAGGAAAAAAAAAACATATTTGCAGGAGACTGGTCTGTCAATCAACCTACATTTTAAGCAATGAAAATATAAGCAGCACGATCTCTGGTGTGACCCCAACGGATGTCGTCTCTCGTGCTCACCGCTCTAACTGACAGCAAGCAATTACCATCAGCTTAAGAATTAAAAGGAAAAGTCATTTGGGTTCCCACATTTCATCTTTAGATGTTTCTCATTATTATCAGCATCAGTGTAACTATGATGATGAAGAGTTTCAAGACATTTTATCATGAAGTTGGTAATAAGAGGCAGCTGGGGAAGTAGAATAAAGTGTCTAGATATTTACATGCACATGAGTCACAGTGCAGCAAAATGTATTAAGATTTCAGATTCAAAAATCTCAACAAGGCTGATTTGTTCAGGTGTGACGGACAATAGATACATTTCAACTGTCTGTTCAATCCCATCTTTGCACAACATCCTGAATAACTTCCTTCGAGTCTGGATTTAAGTAAATTCTTTATTTACCATTATCCCGCCTGCATAAGATGGATAATTTGCAATGTTACGTGAGGGTGGAAAACCAAGACCTTTCATGGGGGAATTATTTTTGCAAAAAATTCTTCCAAAATATATTATTTAAAAATGTTACACTAGTTTTATAAAAACCTGGGAAGATTTTCTCCAGATAGGATTATTTTGTCCTTCTGCAAATCCCTTTGTTTCTTGTTCTTCTTTAATCACAGAAAAAAATAATCCTGGCACCTTTAGAAGTACTAAATCTGTATCGCATTTGTACCTCATAAAGTAGATGATTTGAGATTTGAATAGTTATCTGTTTCGATGATGAAAAGATTTTATTCAGTCATTCTTTGCCTAACTCGATATTGGGTTCCAAATGAAAATTAGATTTTAGAGAAAGTAAATACACAAGTTTATCTAAAAAATGTAAAAAGGTGGATCCATTAATATCTTCTTTCAAATCCCACATTCTGTTTGTTAGTTTGTGACGGTCTGTGCTGACGGGGTGATGCAAAAAAATAAAAACAGATGCTTTACATAAAAAGAGCTTAATTTACACTTCCTCCTGTCAGTGTAGTACCAGTTTTTTTTTCTTCATCATCCAAGACCTGTCTCTGTGATTGGTTATGAATGAAATTTTTATTTTTCTGTTTAGTGAAAAGGTGCCATTTGGTCCTCATTAACTATATTTCCCTTGGGCAAGTGGAAAAAAACCCAAAACCTGAGACACAAATTAACGTTTTTAAAAGTAGAAGAGTTCTGATGAGAAAATTGAGCTATTACTAATTGAAAAAGTTAATTAAAATTATTATTATTTTTGTATATTTTCATCCTGTGCATTTTTCAGGATGACAACTTCGGCTAAAATTACAATAAATTAAAGCATGTTCTTGTTGCTTTTGTTTGCAAAAGAAGAGCTTCATTGAACCATCCAACTTTTAAAATAAAACCTTTGTTATTCCATTTTAAATATTATCAGTGGCATTTCTGATATGAAGGAAAAATGTTGTAGTCCACTTTCAGCTAGCTGACCAGCAGTCCACAGCAGTACTCAAGTGTGGGGTCTTGCTGTGCCCCATACAGCTGAAGAAAATGGTGATATCTCACTGACATCTCATTATAAGGAACCCAGAGTGTAGGAATGGTATGTCGGAACGATATAAATTTTGCTGTTTGTAGCCAAACTAGGTTTCAATTTTAATGCAGAGGGAATATTTCCTTTTACTGTGCCAGAGCGAAGACTGCTGCTGCTGATGTGAAGTATGGCTTCATAATAACTTGTGCTCAAAATAAATGTTTTTTTTTAGATATCAATATTTAGTTCAGTCATCTGGAACATGAAGTATGTAAACACAAATTTTAAAACAGCACCAAAAATGTTTCATTTGTGTTTTCACCGGTTTTGAGCTTTTTAGCAAAATATCTTTATCATATCAAAAGAACTAAGAATTCTGAAAAAGGCTGCAGTCAGTGATGAAAAGGGAATTAAAATAAAATAAAATATCCTGGAATTTGTTTTGGAGTAATTTCACAGTAATCATGTATTCTTCTGGTTTCCCATCCTGCAGGCTCTCCATACCGAGATGAGATCACGCTGGGGATCCTGCAGTTGCAGGAGAGCAACAGGCTGGAGATTCTGAAGAGACGCTGGTGGGAGGGAGGCCAGTGTCCTAAAGAGGAGGACCACCGAGCCAAAGGTTGGGTCAGCAGACCGTTACCTTTCTATCCACAGTGCTAGTATTATTACCCACTGTCCATTTGAACTATGTGCTAAATTACAACAGCTGTAGTTTGCATGGATAAACAGTTCAGTGTCAACTTTATGTGACTATATAAATAGAAATGCAATTCATTCACTGTCACCTTAATTTTAATAAAGAGCCAATACATTTTGCATCCAAGTAAGAAATCATTTCAAAGACGCCATTCTAAATGACTTGAAATGCCATTCAAATTTTTTTAAATGACACTGATCATCAAAAATTTCTGTTCGTTTGTCGTCTGTTGACTGATTGATTAATTCCACTGCAGTCACACTTGTACTTTGCTGTGTTATCAAAGCTGTCATTGACTGACAGATCAATGGATTAGTCTTTTATACACAAGATGAAACCAGCCAGGCGCCATGATTCAAGGTGCAGTCACAAACTCGAATAAAGCAGAGACTCTCTGCCGTGACAGATGGTGCAGTCATTAAAAATGTGGAACAATTAGCGTTTTAAGTGGTCAGAATGTGTCCCAGTAACACCGGAGTCGACACTTTGCAGGAAGATGGATATCACCAGATGTTCTGCAGAGCAGTGTTACTGCGTGTTCCTGCAGAGGTTTTCTGGGGGAAATCTTGGAGTTTCAGATATGTTTGACAGTTAAATGCATCACAAACAGATGGAGACGATGTGGAGATGAAAGAGGGGGATTAAACAACAAGGTTTGAGAGCAAGTTTGTTGGGTTTAGATGTTGTTAAAAATCTTAAATTTTCCCTAGTAGTGTCTTCCTCTCACTTCGTGGTTTGTATGCTCCTCAGCTCACATGGATTTCTTTTTTTTAATTATCTAAAAACACTCTTTTCCTATATCTGGATGACTATTCATAGGAAATTCACATATTTATTTTATAATAATTGTTAGGTGTGTCAAAAAATTTTCTGTGAGAAATTTGTTTAAAAAATAAATAAATAAATTGTTCCCTTTTGGTCTATTTCCCCTCTTACATAAGTGAACTCAAATTAAAAGAGGGATTTTTTTAGTAGCTAAAAAGAAAAATGCATTTGTAGGATTTTCTTTAAGGTCTTTTCTATCCATGCATCTGTTTTCTAACACCTTTGTCCTTAGTGGGGTCAGGCGGTTGCCGATCTCCAACTAACGTTCCTGACGAGAGGCGGGGTCACCCTGGACAGGTCGCCAGTCTGTCCCAGGGCAACACAGAGACAGACATGCACACCCACACACACACCCCCCCACACACACACGCACGCACGCACGCACGCACACACACACGCACGCACGCACGCACGCACACACACCTATGGAGAATCTAGAGAGACCAATTAGCCTGACAGTCATGTTTCTGGAACAAAAAAGTGTGATAGGATGTGTTTCTTTCATTTTTCACCCTGTCTTTGCTGTATTTTTCCTGAGATGAAACACGTCATTAAAAAGAATTACCGCCTGCTATTTTATTCATTTACATCTTGCTTGTTGTTTGTCGTTTATCGATTGTACAGACTCAAATTTCCCCCAGCATCAGTAAACTAATATTTACTTCTGGCACATCTCGCTGCAACAAGACAACATTGCTCGTCTTCATTGACTTTTTCCCTCTTATTACGGCTTCAGCAGCCAATCTTAATGGAATCATGAGACCAGCCGCTGAATCGATCAGTAGCTCTCTGTCATCTGCTTGTGTAGCTTTCTTTATTTCCAAAACAGAAAAAGAATGAGATCTTGATAATAATCCAAATGCGTATTTTCACCTAGATTTTCTGTGCAGTGTGGACACAATAGTTTTGGCTTGTACTGTAAATAGACTCACAGATTTTGCCTTTTCTGAAAAAAGGACAAGTCACAATGGCGTTAATCTGTCAATTCAGAAATTGATGTTATAGTGATATTGGTTAAACTGTTTAAATCAAGCATTGACCTTGGAAGAGATGGAAGCTTGTTTTTGTGTTTGTGTGTGAAGTCTGACAAAATAAATCTATTAAAGGTCCATTATGAATGGTCAAATGTCGCTTTGAGGATGATCACACAGGGAGCTGAATGTGTGTGTTTCCCCTTCTCTGTGCTCACAAAGAAAGGAAATAGCTGGCAGGTAAATCCTGCAACAAAAAAAGAACACATTTTCTGACAATCTGTGGAGAGCTTCAGTGAGAAGCTCAAGGATGTGAACTTGTGAAAATAGTAGAATAAGTTTCTAAGAAGTGGTTTCTTTGAAGGTTTTTTTTTTTTTTTTACACTTTTCGTTTGTGGTTTTGAAGTCAGCCGAACAATTTCAGTAAAGAGTCGCCTGCAGTTGCTGTTATCATACCGGGCAATTGCAGGACTTTGTTTTCTCGGTAGCTAGTTTATAGAGTCTTCTAGTGGCTGGGAAGAAAGAACTGCAATTTCACTTCTTGACCCGTTTTGGATGCCATAGTCTGTCTTTGAAAACCTTTTTACTGCTGTCATAGATTCATTGATAGGTTGAAAGGTACTGATTCTAACATCCACCACCTGCAGTAGTCAAAGGAGAGCATCTAAGGACAGAATCCATCCATAGTCAAGTTGAGCAGCCAGAAATGCTGCTGACAGTTCCACGAAAGCTCGTCTTTCTGCACATAAAAAAGAAAACCTTAATTAAATCTGAGCACACAAGATAAAATACTCCAGGACTTCAAAATCTGATTAGTTATTCACTGAATATTTAGGGATGTTAGTGGTAGTGACGATAATCCAGAACCTGCTGCACGTGTTCTCACTAAAACCAGGAAGATAGAGACATAACACCAGTTTTAAAGTCCCTCCACTGGCTCCCTCTAGCTCAAAGAATAGATTTTAAAATATTGTTGTTAGTTTATAAATCACTGAACGGTTTAGCACCACAATATATCAAAGATCTGTTGTTGTATCAACCTTCCAGACCTCTCAGGTCTTCTGGTTCTGGTCTGCTCTGCACTCCCAGAACCAGAACCAAGAGAGGAGAAGCAGCTTTCAGCATCTATGGACCAAAAATTTGGAACAAACTTCCAGAAAACTGTAAAACAGCGGAAATCTTGACTTTCTTTAAATCGCAACTAAAAACACACCTGTTTAGAATTGTATTTGAAACGTAATACGTAACAATGTATTGTTTATTCTATGTTGCATGACTTTGTGTTTTTGTGTTTATGATGTAAAGCACTTTGAAATACCTTGCTGCTGAAATGTGCTATACAAATAAGATTTGATTTAATTTCGATTTGATAAAATCTATTGAGAAATATTCAGTTATTTCCTCTTTTAACACACTTTTGGCAAACTGGAACTGTGCAAAAAGAAAAATGTGGACAACGAAGGCATAAAGGAAAAAATACCACAATACATTTCTAGCAGGACTAACCCAAAAAGACTGCTTCCAGCAAAGAAGAGCTGTACAATCCCTTCTTTCTGTAGAGGGATTAAAGACACCAAACTTGAATCACTGAGGAGAAAGCAGAGAAAAAAAAGGAACATAAAGGAGCCTTCATACTGTAAAATCTCCTCTGGCAGCTTCTCTCCTGAGTTTTCCACTCAGTTCTTGACATGAACTACATTCAGAAACAGGACCTCACAGCATTTAAACACTGGCTTGTTATGCATACAAGAGAGTCACACATCCCATAGGATGTTCATATTCTGAAGAGAAAAGCTACCCAGAACCACTGGGCCCTATGTGAACAGCGACTGGCCACTAAACTCAGAGCTGTTAGTTTAATTCTTGGTGCCAAGAACTACCACCGGTGTGCGATTCACATGGTTAGAGCAGTATAACCGAATTGTTCATATTCAGCAGCGTTTTTCATCAAATACGGTGGTTTAAAGGTCATGCCAACGCATCTCAAACAAAAGCCTAGGCTTTAACTAGGCCTCTCGAAAGCTTTCTCTGTAATTTTTTGACTTTCTGATGTGGTACTTGTGCGCTTTCAGTCATTATACTGCTCCATCACCCAAACGTGCTTGAGTTTAAGGTATTGAAAGAAATGTCATGCCTTTTTCCATCAGAAATATTTGAATTGCCTGAAGTTCTGTAATTGTCCATCACAGCGACCTAATGAATGAGTCCTCAATGTACCACTGTACTTATTGTGGACCATTTCCATCTTTTCTTATATTTTGCATCTTGCTGTGGTTTGATAAAGTCTCAAAACATTGAATAATCAACTGCCTTGTTTTGGAGTAATTCTTGGATTCCTTTCTTCCTTTGGATCAAGGCGTGGATAAAAAGTTGTTTTGAGATTTTTTTTTCTTATTTATTTCATATAATTTTTTTGATTGTAAAATTCAAAATATTAGACCAAAGTGTGGCTCATGAAACTGACCTTTCCAAATTTTCCGTTTTAATTTGGTGTAGTTTGGGTCATCTTCATCTGATCAAAAACAAAATTAAAAAAAATATTCATAAAGATCCCTTTGTTTTTGTGTTTTTTAGGTCTCGGCATGGAGAATATTGGCGGGATCTTTGTAGTTCTGATCTGTGGCCTCATCGTAGCTGTGTTTGTGGCCATCATGGAGTTTGTGTGGTCAACTCGCCGCACCGCTGAGACAGGCGAGGTAAAACTGCATCCTCATCTTCCTCTTGCATTTTCCTCCTACTGCACCATTCCTGAGCTTTGAGCACAGTTTCTGCAACATAGCCACATAAAGACTTCATAACCTTACAAAGAAAAACTATCTATAAATTTGTGATGTGAATTTGTCATCTGGCTTGTAATAAAAGGGTTACAAAAACATCAAAGCAGTTCGAAGTCTTTATTTTGTTGTCTTTCCAGTCAATTTAAGCTTTAGTAAATGTTTAGGGCTGTTTTGTGCAAACAAGGACATTAAATCAAATGAAAACAGTCAAGAAGTTGTAAGTTTGCAGCTTTGGAAGTGAACAGGGAGATTCAAGTCTGGTAAACATAGAGGAAAGCTGGGGAGCACTGATAAACTTCTGTTCTCTTGCACTGAAAGAAAAGCATAAACATGTCTGTCCTCATTCTCAGTCAGGCCGCATTCTATTTTAAAAAACAAACATCGAACTGGAAATGGCAGCTTTTGTTCACAAACAGCCATCCTTTTACTACAGACTCTAACTTCACTTCTATAAATATATCCTATGACCATTTACACAGTCACAAACAGAAGCACATGGGTAGAAAAGATACAAGCTACATTCTTGCAGCAAGGAAAATATGAGAAAATAAAGTAATTGTTACTGTCAGGATTAGGACCTTTTGTCACCAATTCTTATCCTGCTCTGTTGAGATTATGCTTCTGCCAATGCAGAGTCCGTTAGATCGGTTAGATCTGGGGCCAGGTGAGCAAAGCAGACACACATGTAGCTTCATTGCATGGTCAAAATTATTGGGATCAAATCGCATCACAATGAGGTGCTCAACCAAATCAACCATACATCTCACCATGGTCCCTTAAGAGAACTCAGAGACATTAATGAATGCTGTGTGTTCAGCAGCAAGGCTACACAATGCAAAGCTAATATATCCTCATTGCAATATCTGCAGGACCAATATTACAAAGGACTGTTTGGAGTGCAATAATTGTTGGCTAATATATTCCAAGTGTAACACAAGAGTGATGAAGGCACAGATAAGAAGGAACAAATTAGGCATATATATCACAGCTGATATTGTCAGCGCAATCTTTATTAATATTATCACAGTCGCAGGTTTTCTAATATCATGCAGCTCTGCATGTCCATCCAAAATTAAATATGTTCCATAGATTTGTCTTCTGCTTTTCTTGAAACAAAATGCAAAAATAATTTCATGAATGTTTTGTTCCTAGGGCTGCATATTACCTGAATTTTATTATGTAGGTAATGTAAGAGTCCATGTAAATGGCAGCGCAACAGGCTGCCTTTTAATTCAAGTTGTGCCTTTACCATTTGCATAAGCTCAAACAAATCCTTAGAATAAAATTAACTGGGAAGGCAGAGCATCTACCTGAGCTGTAAGGACAACCATGTTTTTGTTCACTTCCAGAGTCAGAAGAGAGGTATGATTAGTTACTTTGTTTAACATGTTTAACTCTTCAGTTTCCTAGCCATCGTTTTAATTAAAGCAATATAATTACAAAATATGCCTGTAATTCATTTTCAAACGCTGACCACTTGAAGATATTCAGTATTATTTTACATCTCCATGCAACTCACGATTGCACAAGTTGGAGGATAACATTAGCGTACTTTAGAAGTCATAGAAACAGAGTACAGTTATATTTTAAGGTTTTGAATAAAAGAAAGTGACTCAAAAATATGACAAGAAAAATCCAAAACATGGATTGAGGCAGAGTCATATTTATATTCTGCTGTCTTTCACTTGTTTGTCCTCTGCAGTCAGGGTTTGTTGTTTTGGCTTCTGTTCTCTTGAATTTATCTGTTATTGATTTGACTTTCTCTTTTGGATGTTTTAGTGTGCAGAGATAGCACTGGTTGGCTGTGGATTCAGAGGAAGCTGCTGCACAGACATACACTGATAAAAATACAGTTTTTTTTCTGTTTAAATATGCTCTTTTTTTTAAAAAAAAAATCTTCTGACTTTGTACATTTTCAGAACGCACACTGTATATGTCGATACATAACAAATTAGTTTCTAATTTAATTTGTATGTTTTGTTCTTGAAATAACATTATAGAAATAAAAAAACATGATTATTATTATTATTATTATTATTATTATTATTATTATTATTATTATTATTATTGTATCAGGGTCACTAATATGAGTTCTGTCACCATGACGTGTCAAATGCATAAGTAAAATTTTAGGCCATAGTCAATTCAAGTAAAAAAGAAGATGTGCAGATGGAGAGAGAATGTTTTAAGATTTATTTATTGTTCTGTGGCAATCAGAAAAAAAGATGTTCGTGCTGCAGTTTCTTAGCGATCCTTCTCGGGGGTTTTTTTCATCTTTTTTTATCTTCCTTTTGTCTCTCAGGTCTCTGTTTGTCAGGAGATGTTGACAGAGTTTCGAAATGCAGTTTCTTGTAAGAAAAGTTCCCGGGCTCGTCGGCGACGCCCCCTGAGCAGTGCTGGGGGTGGAGTTCTGCGTCACCCCTCCCGACTAGCCTTAGCAGGCCCTAGGCCGATTCGGCTAGTCCGAGAGATGCGACTCAGCAATGGGAAACTCTACAGTGGCACTGGGCCCCTGACTGGGGGCTTGGCAGGGCTGGGGGCAGGTATGGCGACCGGACCTGATTTGGGCCCAGGGCCACAGAGGCTCTTGGACGATCCATTAGGTGTCAACTCTGCCTCTAGTAACCCTCCTCCACCTCCCCCCATGCCAGCCTTTGAGGCTCCGCCCGCCCCGCCACGCAGCTTCCTGCAGAGCTGCAGCCATGTCCGCATCTGCCAGGAGTGCCGGCGGATCCAAAGTCTGCGGCCGGCCACACTCACCCCTCCCCCACCTCCTCCACCTTCTTCCTCCTCCTCTGCCTCGTCCTGCTCCCGAATCCCTCCTTCGCTGGCGATGTCGGGACATCACCATCGCCATAATCCCCACCACCACCTCCACTACCACCACGGATCCATGTCTTTACCCCGCCTCCCTCCACCTCCTCCCCCAATCTCGACAGACAGAGCCGACAGTGATGGGGGAACAGCAAGCCCACTACGGGCAAAAAACAGACCCGCACCTCCACCCAGGCCGCCGCCTGCCAAAGGACCAACATACCCACCAACGGACTTACTTGGGGGACACAGTTGTGCTTAAAAACATTGAGTAAAGACTCAAAAGATACATTTTAAAACATTCAAACTTTTCCTTTGGCCCAAGCAGCACAGCTGTACCTGTCCAAACTCCTGAGGAAGAGGAGAGGAGAAGCTATTTGGACCCATTTGTTGGGCGGAACCCTCAAAGTGGAGCCTTTGGCTCAGTTCATACTATAAACCTTTACTGAGTGATGATTGATTCTAAGCTCTAACCTTAGCGGAGAGGATTAAATAAATTGAACTCTGGAATTTGCAACTTGAAGCAGTTACATGAATAGGCAAACAGAGAATTAGGGAACAACTTTTGATTCAGTCCACCATCTCTTACCTCGGCAAATCCTCCCACTGCAAGAATAGACGACTTTGAGACACAAACACTTAGAGGTCACGGTTGTTTTTGTTCTCTTTTTGTTTTCTTTTTTCCCCATTTGAATACTGAAGTAGGTGTTTGAGTAAGAGGAAACCTTCCTGCAGAAAAGTGGTAGCAGATCAGTTGTACAGTAATCATGGTCTTATGTCACTCTTTTGAACGTTTGTGGAAGGAGGATGTAGCTTTTTTTCCTCATACTGTTTTGCTGTTTGTAAAGATTCCTGCTGGCTGGTGCTGTGATCCACAGAGCAGATAAACAAAATAGTTATTACTTGCCTAAAGTGTTCAAAACTGTGCTGAGGTAGTTCTTCTGTTACATAGAAAATGTATCAAGTCAGAAAAATGCACTGTGAGGCATCTGATGGTAAAGAGCTGTGAAGCAACAAGAGTTCATTATTTTTATAAAGAAAAGAAAAATCAAAGAAAAACTTTTGAAATCTTTGAGATGTCATGTTACACAACTTCAAGATGTGACAACCAGTTGCATAGCAATGTTTTTCGGTAAAAAAAAAAAAAAGTATTATTTTTAGCGTTGTTTGGGGAGAAGAACATCACTAAAGGCCTTTGCACACCATGTCTCAGTGCTTCAGTTTATGTCAGCAGAGTAATCATGCACATGAATGTTATTGTCTAAAATTAATTCTGATGTGCATCAACCATTCAGATAAAAAGAACAGTAACTGTTTATAGAAGTGTGCAGTCTCCTTTTAGATGTGCTGATCCAGTATTATCAGCAGCATGCATGAATCAATCAGTGGTCACATATGTTTTTTCAGCTGAAGTCTTCTTCATGGTTGGTTGGATGGACCAACTTTTTACTTATTTTTCTACTGTAAATGACAGCAAAACCGCCTTGACAATATAGCATTTCTATTCTGCCTTGTATTGCAGAATTTCCACAAAGGTTTGATTAATTAAACCGTTGGGACAACATTTGCTAGCTTTTGACACTTTCAAATTTGTTAGATGATGGGTTAAGATAATATAATATATGTATACTTGTGCAAAGGCCTTTTGGTTTGTAGTTTTTAATTTAGCATATAAGGCTATTTCTATTACCGAATGACACTGATGTCACAAAATGGATGAGCAGGTGAATTAAAAATACACCTCAAGATGTCACTTTAACATATATTTTTATACACATTAAGTTAATGTAAAATTCAGATGTATACAATTTATACTGAGTCAAGTTAGCAGTTTGAAACTCTTTCTTAGCATGCTAGGCTAAGTGAGGCTAACAAGAATGGAAAACTAATTTCAAGATGTTCCAGTTAGCAGGCAAATGGGGAAACATCTTCAGAGCTTATTTAGAAAATATATTTTTGATCCAGCCAAAAAATATCAGTTTTATATAATTTTATGTAAAACCAAGCTGCTTAATTAGGGAAATAGCAGGGTTATTTCCACAACGTTACCCATAGCTTAAAGCTAACTAGGCTGTTTTTAAAAAAAGGATGAATAAATGGCCACAATTGGAATACAAAATATAATATTAAAGTGCATTAAAACTGGAGAATATTATTTCAGATAATAATCAGAAGATACAGTAACCAGAGTTGTACCAGATTTTTATCCCCTAATACTGATCCAAGTCATTTAAGATCGGTAATTCTGCAAAAACCAATATGTATTGGCATAGTGTAACTGTGTATCACCAAAGAGATTTTAGATGCGATAATATTTCCTATTTGTCTTTCTTTTACGATAGCATAACACTTGCATGTTTCCTCTCTCTGGTTATGACTTGGTAACTCAGCTCATAAAACATTTTTGTATAATTTCAGTAATTCTTGTGCAGACAAACCTTACAGAGAAAGTTCTTTGAACATTGTCAGATCTCCTAGCTAAATGGAGAAGCATCTGAACACAAAGTGCGGAGTGGGTCACATGACACAAATGGGAACTGCTTGCAGATTATCTTTCACTCCGAGTATCACTGTCAAGGGAAGACAGAAATAGTTAAATTATGTACTTGGCATGCAATGCAGTTTTGCAATGCATGCCTGTACAAGTTTGTCATGTGTTTTTGCACATGTCAATCAAAATAAAACCACAAAACGTACAGTAATGAAATGCCTCAAATTGGATGCCCTCGAGGACCGCAATTTGATCCTCCGGTCTTGTCGAGTGTTTTCTGTTTGACTGCACATAAAATGTTCGTGTTATTAAACTTACCAATTCGAACTGGTCAGCTCAGTCAATGTTTTAAGGTGTAGACGTGACCAAGCTAATGCAGCTTGTTACGATTTAAATTTCTAATGTCATATTTTTTTTGTTTGTTTTATGAATGAAGAAAAAACTGAAAACTGTGATCTTTCAAATGATGTTCAATTATAAAAACTGCATTGTTGTGTCAAGTTTGAAACTTGGAACGCTGTCTATTCACAGTGCAGGATATGTGGATTTTTTTAGTTTTTGTGGAGCATATCTCAGATATTAAAAAGAAATTGCAGCTCGGGAAGAAGAAAAGCCCGGCTGCAACAATACTTAACATGCCATTGACTGGTGTTTGCAAAGCAACAATCTAGGGCTGTCATCTTCTTTTGGCGTTCATTTTCTTTGCTGCTGTTCCCCAAGAATGAAGATAAGGAAGACCATGGATGTTAAGTTGTCCAGTTTCATAATAGTAGTAAGGTATTTGTTGTTTAAACTCTTAAATTAGGCATTTGTAAGCATTTGGCGGGGATCTCAAGTACTTGCAAATTTCAGCTTTTGCCAAGCAGGTATGGTCCTGAACCCCAGCAAATACCGAGGATGCACTGTAATGTTTGGGGATTTTTATTTCTTAACGTTGCAGAAACTTTTGCAAACCTAATAAAACATTCAAAGTTGTGTTAATTAAGACTATATGGACCCTTTTACTTCTTATAAAGATGCTTGAAAAATAAATTTACTGAACATACAGTGAGTGAAGAACTACCTCAGTGCAGTTCCGTCTGTTTTAGGTCAGTTTATTCCGTTTATGCTGTTTTTAGGCTGTTTTTGTGGCTCAAAAGAGCTAGGAAACTTTGTACTGTACACACACCTAAGAACACCCATACATACAAACACACAAGCAAAAACACATTTGACTGTAAACTTGGTGGACAAACTGAAGCAAAACAACACACTAAATTTGTGATTGTATTTTCATTGTGTCCAATTGGAGTGTTTCTTGCAATATTATTATATTTTTTTATATAATAGAAATTTTTCTTGAAGATTCATTTATAATCAAATTCCCCGACCCTGGATCATCATCGACATGTCGGTTATGAATAGCAGTTCCACATGTAAAGGCTTACGGTTGTGTAACTGTGATTAGAGAAAAATGAAACATTGTTTTGAAGAGCAGTGCCTGTACGTTTTTATTCATTTTGTGATCTTATTTCACTTTTTCATACAAACTGTAACATCAAGGCAGCAGCAAATGTGGAGAATGTTGATGAAAACCTAAATGTCACTGACTAATTAAGGTATGTTCATGCTTGCGTGTGTATGTGTGTGTAAGACTGTGTGCTTGGCTATCTTTGTGAGAACTAAGGTGAGTTCAGGCGCTGAAAGTTTCAGATCAGGGTCTGAATGGGGCTTAAGTCATTGGGATAATGCATGTCCTCACAAACTCAGCTATGCAAGAGTGAACATTGGTCTGTTGCACATTTGACTATGTTTGGGTTTTTGTTTTGCTCCCTCAGATTTGTACCAGCAGATTTCAGCTGTTCACACCAGAACAGGGACGACAGAAGGACATTATTCTGATGATTCTGATGTGATCATGATTATTATCAATATTGATGTGTCGGGTGACTCTACGAGGGGTTCCTCCCGCTGATGTTCAATATATAGACACATATTTGGAATAAAAAACAACTTTTAAAAAGTCATTGTATTGAAAATGCATTTGACTACGATGTTTTTATTTTTTAGTTGGTAGTTGTTTACTGTTTGTCTTTATCACTGGGGAATAATTTAACCAGATCTTCATAAAGGTTTGTGAGCTTTTGTTACTACACAATTCTTTAAAGGTTCTGCTACATGTTTTTTTACTTTGACTAGACCACTGCAAAACCTGGGTTCTTTTCTTTTTCAACCATTCTGCTCAAGATTAGCTGTTTGGGACTATTGTCTTGTTAATTAACCATTTTCACAAAGGGTTTAGCTGTCAGTCAAATATCTTCACATCTGAATTTACAAACTGAAGTTGATTCTGATTGGACGGCCTTGCTAGCTTGGCAGCTAGCTTGGATGTTTTGATTTGTTGTGGCGTTACGAAGCTTTGCAGAACATCTCAGCCTTGTTCGAGAAGTTTCATGATTCATCCTCTATGTTTCAAGAGAGCAAAGAAAAAAAAGCTGGACGTTTATTTTTCAGCTGATTTGAACACGTATGTAAACTGTGAATTATTTTGCTTTCATAAAAGTGGTCAGACCTGCTGCTAATCAGTTATTTCTGTGCATTTTCATTTTGCTGCTATGTTTTTAGAAGAACAAAAATGAAGACATGAACTCAGAGAGCATAGTGAGGAAGAACGTAATTTGGATACAGGAGAGCGAATCAGTGGCATTTGGAACAGCTGTGGAACAGAACAAAAACAGGGACACAGGAGATTATAATAGTTAAGATAGAGGGAAAAAACTTGATAAAATCAAGTTACAAATTAGGGAACCTGAGAGAATAAATACAGAAACAAATAGAACAAATAAGAAAGAAAACCTAAATAAACACTTTGTATCAAACAGAAATAAATTGAATATAATTTTCTAATCAAGAAAGATGTTTTTCACAAACCAAACCCTAAAAGACTAAGGTTTACACGAACGTGACAGTAAAATTGACTATGCTGTTTCAATAAGGTTTATTTTTAGAACCTTTTAGGATTAACATCCTTTAAAGAATATTATATTTTATTAGTCTGGTTAAAAATGTTTTTCAATAAATTAAATGCTTTTATTTGCTTAAAGAGGAAATGCATCATAAAGAAAGGCTTAAAACACCACTCTGTGTGTAATTAATCTATATAATGTGTTTCACTTAGTGAATTGAGTTACTAAAACGAATAAACTTGCCAATAATATTCTAATTTACTGAGACCCAGAAACAAGCTGGCAGCACCTGGCTGCTACTTTACTGAAAATCTACGGACGCAGAAATTGTAAATTACTTAAAATAGAAAAGGTCCACAAATTGTTATTTCAACAAACTATAATTTCACAGATTGTGGGTTTGTTTGATCTCTGTGTCATCCAACTTGCTCCTAGTTTATATTATGCATATTCTGTGCAGCTGCATGATTTTTTTTTTCTGTAAACATGAAAACCTAGTGCCAGAATGTAAAAAATACCAGGAACTATAAAACAATTACCTTTCATATCCACAATGAATTCTGGGTTTATTATCAAACATGCAGACTTTAATGCAAACTGGAATTTTTTATGGTTTTAGATTTAACCTCTTAGTTTAAAATCAGACCATTCTAAGGATTTTCTGGCAGTTATTCAAACTTTATTTTCCTCTCAGATGGATTTTAGGTGTCAACAAACACAAACCGGGCTAATATCCAGAACACAAAAGCAAAACAAAGGCAGTACTGGAAAAAAACAAACAAACAAACAAAACAATACAAACACATGGAGTTAAAAACCTTTAAATCTGTTTATTTCAGAGTAAGCAGGGTTGGTCCAAACTGGCTGTGATGTTACAAATTTTGCTTAGGCAAGAAGATCAGAAAGGGAAATCTGCACTCTGTATTCTGTAAATGGGAGTTAAAAATCAAAAACATGAAACATCTGAAACGCCCCAGGGTATATTTAGAAGTTTCCTTCAAAAAGGGGATCGAAAGCAAACAAATCGCCTAAAATTGATTTTTGGAATTTTAAGAGTTCAGTGCAACTTCTTTAGCGCCAATTCACAACACGTGTCATCTTTCTTTGTTAGAATCAATACCTGTCTTTACTAGAAAGCCTGAAGGCAGAAAAGAAAAAAAATCTGCAAAAAGAAATTAATCATTTAAATTCAACACCAGCCTTAAAAATGACATCAGACCTTTGATGTTACTGGGAGTATTTTGAAAAGATAATCTTTCCACCTACATCTTTCCATATGTTGATTTTAAATTTATAATTAAAACAATTATAAATGTTTTTTTCATGAGTTTAGCTATTATTGACCCAAAAAAAAGAAAACATGATTTATTTATAAAACAAAATCAATTGCTCAAACGTTAATAGCAAAAAGCCGCCAGCAGAGGGCAGTGCGGATCAACAGAAAATCGACCAGTAGGAGCAAAATTGAATCCACTGATTTTCCGAATAAATGGTGAAAATGAAACATCTGAAAGGCCCCATATTTGACAAAGAGGACATCAGAGGATATTATTGATTCTTGCTAAAGGAAAACTGATACCTGAAAGACATCAGGATCTCCCTTTAACTAATTGGCAAACTCATTTTCCAGCTCATAACATTTAAAAGTGAGGAAAACAATTTTCTTCTGATTAGAAGACCATTTTCCCCATGTTTCTTGTAATCAAATCAGCACAAAATAATTGATGTCAAAAACCAACTAACTAATATGCTTAGAGAGTGAAAAAATTTTTATATAATTGATCTGTTGCTTACTTTGATCAGCACAACCACATGGTTACGGTTTCAGTTTTTGCAGCACTTATCTGAGCTTTTTAGACAGCAGCACCTGGCAGCAGCCAAAAAAAATATTAGGTGAGATGACTGAAAATGAAACTTAACACCAAGATGTCAAATATTAGAAAATATTTGGACACTGTTGCAATTACCCAATAAAAAAATGTTTCGACACATTGAAGTCACTCAAGGAAATTCATCACTGCATGAATGACACAAATAGCAGCATGGTGAGAATGAGTCAGTGGTTTAATTATATAATTTTGTCAAAATAGCACAGATTTAAAAACTCTTTTTCTGTCATTTAACTAAGAAAAATAAAAAAAATTAATCCAAAAAAGTTTTTCCCCCCCCCCCTTATGATTATATTCCTCACCTGTTTTCTGTTCTAAAATGATAAATTTCTGCAAACAGATGTAGAGCACTTGTCTAATTCAGGAGAAGACAGTAAAACACAGGCTGCCTCAGGCAATTTTCTGGACTAATTTTCTCATTTTTATTTCACTTTCCAATAAATTACATATATTTTTCAATTTCTAACATTAATAAGAACAAATAAAAATGGGTAGAAACTTAAACATATATTTAAAGTGGCCTTAACATTTTCAAAGGAGTTTTGTTAAAAACTATTCATGTGATCTTCTTGGGAGTTGTGACTTTACTGGAATCACTGCATTGAAATTGATCACTCTGCTCCTTCTTTCACACGTCATGCATGAAGCTTTTTCCAGAAACACTATTTTCTTACTATTTTTACAGGATTGCATTAGAAACATCTGGAGGAGTCACTGACAATATTTTCTGAGTCATTCCCTTCCCGATCTTTACTTTTGTTGACGTTAATGTCATTGTAAGACTTCATTGGTCTGCTTGAGAAGCAGTGCGTCAGCTTTCTGCTTACTCTATTCACCTCTGGACACACTGCACTTCCTAAGAACCAAACGCAACAACATCCTTCCTCTCTAAGCAGTTTTAACCACAAACACCCAAAACTGAACTACTAAACAAAAACTGAAGGTGTCACAGAACAGAAAATAGTCGCCACATTAAAGATGTGTTTTAAATATTCAGTTTTTGCTACCATGAAGGTTTTTTTTTACATTCTTCAAAGATTAGCTGGCTGCTTTTCATTCCCTCTGCACTTCAGCTCACTTCCATAAGACATATATTATTCATCACACCAGAGAAACACTTCTTGATCCAGAAAAGTCTCCCTTATAGCATTTTACTGAACCGTTTCTGCAAAAATGTTTAAGGAAAATAATTACATTTCAATTTCTAGTGAGTGGAAATCACACCAGCAACTGACGGGCCTCACGTTTCTAATTCCATAGAAGCTGATTTATCACAATCTATTAACTGTAAGTTGATTACATTGTGGTGGAACTGGATTTTATGATAAAGTAGCTCATGTTGGCATGAAAAGCTCATTTTGGCTGAGTATATTGACAGAGCAGTGACATTTAGTTAGTAGAACTTTAATATTTTATACTTTTTTTGTATTTTAGTGGTTGTTTATCAGTGTACTGCCGATTTACTTGTTTCTGTCACCTAACCCTATTGAAAAGTTACAACAACTTTTTATAGTTTGATACTTTGATTTCAATTACCACTAGCCTGTCTGTGGTGATGAGTGGTGAGGAGCAAAACATTGCCTTGCAAATATTTGCTCCTTCATTGTTGCTATTTATGGAGAGGTCCTCCCTTCATCCATTCCCAGGCTTGTGTTTATTATAAGCACAGTTTTTGATTATGTGTTTCAGAAGTGGAACTAGTTGTTTTTTTATGCTTTTTACCCATCTTTTTGTTTTTTTGTTTACAAATTGTTGTCTTCAAAGCAATCAAATTTAAGGGGAAGAACTTCTTTGCACTTTGTTTGTATTTGTAGGAAAAATCTGGTGGCTCATGTGAAATTCCCTGACTGCGGTGTGTAAATAAACCATCATTGTTTTTGTGCAGCTGCTGTAAAGGCCCAGTCTCTTAGGTTTTTTTTAAGTGAGTGTGAAAATGTGTGATTATAATTTTCTATAATTCCCCTCTAAATGGCTTGACTAATGTGCTATGACACAGTCAAATGCCAGTTTTATTATTCATTGTGTGTACACCCAATTCTGGCCCAATTTTTGTGAGTCTGTGCAAAGTACAGTTTCCTGTTTCAAACTGACAGGAGTGCCACCTATTGTGGGTTTCTTCTGCTGAGGTCCATCTACTTTGTGGTTTGATGCATTGTGAAATTAGAGCTGGCGTTGTGCACACTGCAGTTGTAACCAGTGGTTATTTGAGTAACAGTTGCTTTCCTGCACCTCAAACCAGTTTTCCCAGTTTGCTCCTCTGACATAAACAAGGTTTTTGCTCTTTATCTGGTCATTCTCTGTAAACTTATTAAATGCTTTGATGTAAAAATTCAAGCATATCAGCAGTGTCTAGTATTCTGATCAACAGTGTAATAATTCTCTTTTTCCTCTTTTCTTTTCATGACCAAACAAATATGAAGAGTTCATGCATGTGAAGAATAAACTAACTTGCAGAGCTCCACAGCCTTCAGATGGGCTTTTTTCATATTTTTCTCACAGATTCACTTATTTTTAGATTATCTGTTCTATAGACGACATAAGAAATATTGTTTTAAATTACATATTTGGTCCAAAATATTGATTTCCAAGTCTAAACGGTTCAAAAACACATAAGCATCATATTGAGAAATGTGACTTTTTTTTTTCTTCCATTTTGTGGGTTTC